CGGCCCGGCCGCCGTCGGGGTGAGGTCAGCGCGGCCGGGGCGACGTCACACCGCGGGGGCGGGCCTGACGTCTGCACCGCTGGCCGCAGCTGCTGGAGAAGGCCCCGATTCGGGACATATTTGGAGAAAGCGCCGGGAAAGCTCCTCCTTTCCCTCTGGCGCGCCCTCCCAGCCTGGACCCGGCGGACCCTGCCGCCTGCGCCCCCATTACTGCGCACGTACGTCGGAGGCTTTCTTCTCAGTCAGATCCAGCTTCTCCTGCGCGTCCTTCAGGTTTTCCGAGTACTTGTCCAGCTCGTCCTCCGTCCCCTTCAGCTTTTTCTGGAGGTGCATCAGCTCCTCCTCCACCTGGGGACAGATAGGGGCGCGTGTCAGCCCGGGGGGCACCTCCCCGCGGCGCAGGGGCGTCCCCCATGTTCGCAAGAGTCCGCTGTCTCTCCCTGGGCCTCAGTTTTCTCGTCTGTACAATAGGGATAACAAAAGTATGTTGTTGTTGTTGTTAACTGTCCCCCAGTGATTCCGACTCATGGCAATCTCAAGTGGGTGGAGTAGAACTGCCACTCAGTGGGGTTTTCGAGGCTGTGACCTTTCGGAAGCAGATCGCCAAGCCTCACTTCCCAGGCGCCTCTAAGTGGGTTGGAACTGCCAACCTTTCATTTAGTAGTCAAGAGCTTATCCGTTTGCACCACCCAGGGACTCCTACAGTGTGTGTCGTTGTTGTTAGTCAAGTCAATTTGGATTCATAGTGATCCATGTGTTAGAGTAGAACTGCCCCAAAGAGTGTTCTTGGCTATAATTTTTACAGAAGCACATCCCCAGGTCTTTTCTCCTGAGGAGCCACTGAGTGGGTTCAAACTGCCAACCTTTCAGTTAGCAGCTGCACGCTTAACTGTTGTTCAACCCGGGCTCCTTATAATATAGTATGTAACACTCAGAAATGTTACCTGTTAATATTATTTTCAAGGTCCCTAGGTGGCACAAACGGTTGGTGTTCAACTGCTAACCTAAAGGTTGACAGTTCAGACTCACCCAGAAAGAAAGGCCTGGTGATCTGCTTTCATTAAAAACCCGTTGCCATAGAGTTGATTCCAACTCGTAGGGACCCTACAGGACAGTAGAACTGCCCGATAGGGTTTCCAGGGAGCAGCTGGTGAATTCAAATTGCCGACCTTTCGGTTAGCAGCCATAGCTCTTAACCACTGAGCCACTAGAGCTTCACGTAGTAGTTGAGTGCAAACCATTTGCACCAGGCACATTAAAATACAGTCTCCCTGAGCCCACATGCTACCGTCAGGTAAACCGAGCCTCAGAAGGAGGAGGGATTTGCCCAAGGCCATGAAGAATGGGGATTTGATCCCTTGGCAGTTTGAGCACTAGTGCCTGCTGTGTCTACTGTTCACCACCTTCTGCTAATGGGGCGCTCCTACTGACCCTTGACACCCCAGCCCCAACACCCCCTGCCCTGGGCAGAGACCTCACGACTGCTCGGGACTGCCCTGGCACTCCCTCTGCCCCAGCCCTGACCATTGAGGCTGGGGGCATTGGTATCTGGCTCTGTTTTCCCTAGCCTGGGGGCTCTTCCAAAATTAGACCTGGGGCTGAGGTCACTCTGACCCCATATCCGCCAGCATGGGGCTGGGTCCGATACAGCTGGAGCCCAGGGGAAGTTTGTGGGATAAATAAATGCCCTCACCCCAAATCCTTCAGTGGAAGGAGGCTAGGTATGAGAATAAATAAGAGTGGCATCAATCAGGTTCCTGTCCCTTCTGTCTGGATTCCATACACCAGGTGTATGGTAGTGTGGAGAGCCTGGCCCGGAAGGCAGAACCGAGCCCAGGAGGCAGAGCCTGGCGCTAGCTCTGTGAGGTCTCAGGCAAGTCACTGTCCTTTGGACCTCAGTTTCCCCATCTGTAAAATGGCCAGAAGAGAGGGGGCCACACACCTTTGTCCCTGCAAACAGAGCCTCTGGGCTGGGCTGAGGCAGGATGTGGGGTCAAAGGCCGGTTGTGGCGGATGTCGCTGCCCTAGGAGGGGAACAGCAGGAAGGGGGAGCTGGGCCTCCCTGTCCCGTTCCCACACTGCACAGGCAGATCCGGAATTGGTACATCGCTGCAGGGTCCCCGAGGGTCAGGCTGGCCTCAAGACCCATGCTGGCTGGCTGCCTGCATCGTAAGCCACTCTGAGTAAGTTGAGTCCCTTACTACCTCCTGCCTTGTTTCCCAGCCAGGACTGGCCATCTGGGGGAGGGGAGGGGGAGCCCCGATTTGTGCTTTGGACCCAGAGGTCTTGAATTCCATCTGAGCCATCAGAAGGCATAGTTTGCCCCCATTTCACAGATGAGAACACCGAGGGCTCAGAGAGGGGCAGCAGTGTGCCCTGAATCACAGAGCTAAAGGACTATCCAGCTGGAATTCCAGCCCAAGTCCACCACAGTAGGCAGCTTTGTGAGAAAGAGGAACAGAATGAAAATTCAGCTAGAGGTTGGAGGACCTGCCTGCACCTCCTTGGCCACACAGCTGACTGGAAGCTTTAGAGGAACCTTCTGTTCTGAACATGTGGATGTCTTGGGAGATTAAGATATATCAGTCACTCACACTTTAGTGAGCATTAGAGCCATGAATTCTCTGAATCTCTGGTTAAGTCACTCACGATGAGGGCCAAATGATGAATGAAAAGCTGACAGCTCATGACCTACACAGGATGGGCGTCTGTGTTTGCTAGGGAGGGGAATTTGTGACAGGGAGTGCTGAGGCGGGGCTGGGCTGTGCAGATGTGTCACAGGCGCTTAGGGCGGTGCCGGGACTCGGGGGGATGGGGAGACCCAACGGGGAAGTCAGGTGGGGCAGGAAACAACCCTCATTGATTGAGTGCCTACTCGGTGCCAGGTGCCAGGTGCGGGCCAAGGGCTCCACCTGCACAGCCACCTCTAATCCTCCCACACAGCCAGGGGGGCACCTCTGTTACTAGCCCCACACTTAGGGCCACCAAGGTACAGAGAGGTTGCTCTAGGTGGTCCAGTGGTGGAGTTGTGATTTGAATGGGACCTATTTGAGCTCAGAGCTTTTCCCTGAGGGTTGACCTGGCGCCGGGCTGGGCTGGTCTGCGCTGGGCATCGATGCCATCACCTGGGTGTCTCCCAGGGCTTATCTGAGACTTGGACGTTCCTGAGAGCTGAGCGGTTGACCCCAGGGCTTGGGGGAGGCTATAGGGAGCAGGGCACTACAGGAGGGGCAGGACCCCCTCCCTCCTCCCACTGGCTGCTCTGGCCATCTAGACCCAGGACAACTGACTTCTGCTCAGCCCAGACCTCTGCCCACTACTCTTCCATTAGCTCCCTGGAGAGCCTCTACTGCCAGAGCCCCTGGAGTCTCGTCCTCAAGCTCTGTGTCCAGGGCCTGTGTGGGCTTCTGGACCATGGGGGAGGGGGGACTGGCCCCCCTGCCCTCTGCCTGCCAGCAGCAGGGACAGCAGGTGCTCCCCTAGAGACGCAGAGAAGTACTGAGGTTTCAGGCCCACCCTCAGCTCTCCACCCACCTGGCCCCCAGGCCTCCACCCTCACCCTGACACACACACACAAACTCACCTCAACACACACACAGACACTCACTTCAACACATACATACACTCACCCCAACACACACACCTCAACTCCCCCACACAGACGACAGCCTAACACACACACTCATACACACATGCCAGCAGAAACACACACACCCCCACCACACACGGACATACTCCAATACACACCCTGACACACGCATAGACACACTCGAACAGAAACACATTCATTCTGACATGCAGACACCCAACACACCTCAGCATACACACTCACACGATACACACACTCCAACACATATACTCACCCTGACACACAAACACAGACACGCTTGAACAGAAACACGAATTTACCTGGACACGCACACACTCACCCATGCCAACATAAACACACACTCGCCCAACAGACACACACACAGCAAAAGAAACACACTCACCCAACACACGTCAACACACTCACCTTGACACACACTCAACACACAAACTACTTTTATGCCCAGTTTTTCACAAGTATGCACACAGACCCAGCCTCTTCCTTCTACACACGAACCCACACTGACACGCCATATGTACACCTGCACACACACATCTCTACTCTTTCACATCTCTGCTTGTATGCACATGTTCTCACAGTCACCTTCACCCCTCCACAGTCTTCCTTTCCAGTTGGCACACACACACAGAACACATGCACACACACAGAAGTGTTCACACACACACAAATACACTTTCATGTCCACTTATACACACAGCATCAACCCCAGCGCACACAACCCCAGGCTGGTCCCCTCACCCTAACACACATAGACTCACAAACTTCCACACCCACAGACACAAACACCCCTCATGCATTCTTTCTCCTTCTCTCCCTCCCTCCTTCCTTTCTCTCAAACCCACTTGGCTCTCACTGTCCCAGCGGTGGTGGGTCCAGTCATCCCTCCTGTCCAAATCCGGGGGTTCCCTCCAGGGAAGACAATAGTCCCCTCACTCTCTCCTCCTTGCCCCAGTCCCAGGCAATGCAGCCGCAGTGACCCTGGCCCTAGCCCCAGGAGCCAGCACAGAGAGGGCGCTGGCTGTCCTGGTGGAGCCCAGCATGACTCACCTGCTTGCACTTGTCCTCAGCGGCCTTCTTGTCGGCCTCCGCCTGCTCGGCGCGGTCGATGGCATTCTCCTTGTCCAGCTTCAGCATCTGCATCTTCTTCTTGATGGCCTCCATGGCGGCAGTTGGGCTGTGGGGCTGAGTGTGAGGCGAGGGTGGAGGAGCAGCCTTTTAACCCCCGTGGGTACCGCCTCCTGCTCAGCTGGGCCAGCTGCCACTCGCCCGCCCATCACAGACTTGGCAGCTTACCGGCCTCCCTCGCCCTCGCCTTATTTGGGCTTAGGATTTTCTTCAAGAAAAAAAAAAAAAGACAGAAAGCCCTAACCATTTCCATTTTTAACCTGGTGACATGGTCCTGTGTGACTGTGTGGGCCCAGGGTGGACCAGAGGGCCCACGAGGCAGGCCTGGGGTGGGGGCATGAGCGAAAGGCTGGGGAAGGTGGGGGGGCTCCTATGCTCCCTCTCTTTCTCTCTGGGTGTGCCTCCGGGGATGGGATCTCCACCAGGCCCCTCACATCTCCTGCCACCGCCCCAGGTGTCTCCCTGGGTCCCCCTCACTGCCTTCTGGCGGATATTGTCTCCGCTATCCTCTCTCGGTCTCTCTCTGGGTAACTGTATCTGTGTCTCTCTCTATCCCTCTGTCTCTCTCTCTCTGTCTCCATCATCCTCTCTTTCTATCTCTTGATTTTTGTCTCTTAGACTCTCACTGTGACTCTGTTCATCTGCCTGTCTCTGTGTCTCTGTTGTTTTCTATTTCCATCTGTCGCTGTCTCTCTCCCTCTCTATCTTTTCAGCTTTTGCTCCCTCTCTCTCTTTCTCTTCCTCCGCGTTTCTGTCTCTCTCCATCTCCCCTGCCCCGTGGCTTCCATCCCGTTCGATTCACAGGGCAATAAAATCAGTCAATTGATTGACCTGGGGAACTCTTGGAGGCCAGGCCCGGCACCCAACACCTTCCCTCCCCTGCTCAGAACTAGCAGTGCCTCTCGGCACCCACAGGACACCCAGCTCCCAAGCTTTCTTCCCACTTAAGCCTCTTGCCAGTGCCCCCACCACACTCTCCTTACCCCCCAGCTCAGCGTGCCTCCTACCGCTTCCCAGACACACTGCCATTCCCACTAGAGGGCCTTTGCATGTGCAGCCCCTCTGCTTGCAGCGCCTTCCTATCTTCTCAGCTCCCTGAGGTCAGAGGAGCGGTCTCCAGAGAGGCTTGTTTACTCACTCATCTCCTCAGCAAACACAGAGGGTGCTCTGAAGAATATGGGAACTATTGCTATTATTACTATTACTGTTACTACTACTGTTGTTATTAGTTGCCATCAAGTCAGCGTTGACTCATGGCAGCCCCGTGCACAACAGAATGAAGCGTTGCCCGGTCCTGCACCATCTTCACAAACATTGGTATGCTGTAGTCCACTGTTTTGGCCACGGTGTACTTTGAGTGACTTCCAACCTAGAGGGTCATCTTCCAGCACTCTATCAGACAATGTTCTGTGTGATCCGTAGGGTTTTCATTGGCTAATTTTTGGATGTAGATTGCCAGGACTTTCTTCCTTTCTAGTCTGGAAGCTCCACTGAAACCTGGCCACCATGGGTGACCTTGCTGGTATTTGACATACCAGTGGCATAGCTACTGGCACCACAACAACACACAAGCCACCATAATATGACAGACTGAGAGATGGGTAGTGGTTTATTGTTTATTATTATTATTAGACCATCATTAATGACTTGGGGCTGTTTTGGGGCAGGCCTGTGTCACAGTCTTGTCTGTGACTGCCACAAAAAATCAGAGAATGCTTGTTAAATAAAATGAATAAAATAAAGGCATTAAATTAAGTAAGATTTAATTAAATAGATAAAATTAACAAAACTAGAAATTTCCACCTACACCTACACACACTCCTCTGCCTAGGAAACTTCTGCTCATCCTTCAAGGCCCAGATCAGATGACACTTCCCCCAGGAAGCCTTCCTAGTCCCCCAGCCCAGCATCAAGGCCATAAGCTTCTATGTCCCAGCCGTTCGTTACTGGACAACACAGGTGGTCAGGGCAAGATACAGACCCTCTTCTTTACCAGACATGATGTCCTTTTCTAGTGATAAGTCTTTCCTGATGATGTGTCCAAAGTAAGGGAGACAAAGTCTCACCATTCTCACTTCTAAGGAGTGTTCCGGTTGTATTTCTTCTCAGACTGATTTGTTTGTTCTTGTCACAGTCCACGGTATATTCAATATACTTTGCCAACGTCACAATTCAAACATACCAATTCTTCTGTCTTCTTTTTCCACTGTCCATTCATATGAGGCAATTGATAAGACCATGGCTTGGGTCAGATGCGCCTTAGTCCCCATTTTATAGATGGGGAAACTGAGGTGCAGAGCAGCTTACCCAGGCTCACCCAGCTTGTGAGTGGCAGAGCTGGGAGCTGACCCAGCTGAGTCTAGAATAGAGCTAGGGGATCCTAAGACCTCGTTCACCTCCTTGTCCCTCCACCCTCCGAATGTCTCAGTTTGATCAGCAGAAGTCAGCCCCCGCCACCCCCGCTGCACCCAGAGACTCTGGACCAGCCTCATTACAGGTGCTGTGGCTAATTCCAGGCCTGACACTACTGTCTCCAGAAAGGGATTCCCCCCGAAGGAGTGGCCGGCTCGATTCGTGGCCTTGTAGGGCAGCCCTGGGGTCCTTGGACTGGCCTCTTGCGCTCCTGGAGGTGGAATCTGATCCTGGGAGAGAGGAGGAGGCTAGACATGGCGCCAGAGCTGAGTTATGCCCTCCATTGGGGCTAGGGGCCTTTGGTGCCCCAGGGACACCCAGGAGTTCTGGCCAGAACTTCGAGGGTCATCCAGGTTTCCTGGCCCCCGGGGCCCTGGCCCAACTCTCCAGGCTATGTGGCCTAGTACATGAAGCTGCCTTTTATAGCTCAGAGAGAGTGAGCCCCTGTTTTGTTCATAACTCTCCCTCTGGAGGCTTCTGAGGACAGGTGAGGGGGTCAAGTCCCTTGTCATCATCCTGGTCACCTCACGATGGCGAGAGTAGCGTCATTTGTGAATGGACATTCATCAAGCATCTAGTACCTGGGTGGTGCATACGGTGAATACACTCAGCTGCTAATTGAAAAGTTGGAGGTTCAAGCACCAGAGGTGCTTCAGAATAAAGCCCTGGTGGTCTACTTTGGAAAAATCAGCAACTGAAAACCTTCTGGAGCACAGTTCTACTCTGACACACACAGGGTCACCATGAATGAGAGTCGACTTGACGGCAACTGGTATTTTGTTTTGTTTTGGATTCTTTTTGCCTATTCGGAGTTTCTGGGTGATACAAATGGTGAACGTGCTCGGCTGCTAACTGAAAGATTGGAGGTTTGAATCCACCCAGAGGCACCTTGGAAGAAAGTCCTGGTGATCTATCTCCAAAAAATTAGCCATTGAAAATCCTATGGAGTTCAGTTTTACCCTGACACACATGAGGTTGCCAGGAGTTGGAATCAACTTGCTACGGACAATTGGTGTTTCATTTTTTAGGGTTTTTTTTTTTTTTTTTTTGCCTAATAGGAGTTCCTGGGTGGGCAAACGGTGAACATACTTGGCTGCTAACTGAAAGGCTGGAGGTTGAAATCCACTCAGAGGTGCCTCGGAAGAAAGGCCTGGAGATCTACTTCCGAAAAATCAGACATTGGAAACCCTATGGAGCACAGTTCTACTCTGACGCACATGGGTTGCTACAAGTTGGAGTCGACACCATGGCAACTCGTTTGGCGTTTTTCGTTTATTACATGCCATGCACTGTGTGGTCTTTGGGGACATCGTGGTGGACATGGCTCACTCCAGTGGAGAAGCAACAAATACCTGCAAATAATTATGGGATTAGTGGCAATGGGGCAAGCTGCTGTTTTAGGTCTGACTCCCCTCAAGCAGACCCTGAGACAAAGATTCGAGGGCAAGTAGTTTATCTGGGAGGTGCCCTGAGGAGACACGGATGAGTGTGGGGAAGTGAGGTTGGGAAGGGAAGTGTACTAGTGCTGCTATAACACAAATACCAGAAGTGGGTGGCTTTAAAGAACAGAAATTTATTTTCTCACAGTTTAGGAGGTAGAAAGTCCGAATTCGGGGCTTGGCTCTAGGGGGAGGTCCTTCTTTGTCTTTTTCTGTTAGTTGCTGTACAGTCTACTCCAACTCATGTTGACCCCACCTGTGCAGAGTAGAACTGTGCTCCACAGGATTTTCACGGCTGTGACTTTTCAGAAGTAGATCACCAGGCTTGTCTTCCAAGGCACCTCTGGTTGGATTCAAACTACCAACCTTTTGGCTAGTAGTTGAGCACTTAACCATTTGTGCCATGCAGGGTCTCCTGTTTTTGGCTTGTTGCTGTTGTTGTGTGTGGTTGCATCAATTCTGATTCATAGCGACCCCATGTGACAGAATAGAACTGCCCCATAGGGTTTTCTTGGCTGTAATCTTTATGGAAGCAAATCGCCAGGTCTTTCTTCCAAGGAGCTGCTGGGTGGGTTCGAACTGCCAGCCTTTCAGTTAGCAACCAAGAGCTTAACCACTGTACAACCAGGGCTCCTATTTCAGCTTCTACCCAAGCCGAATGAAACCCATTGCCATCAAGTCAATTCTGACTCATAGTGACCCTACAGAACAGAGTAGAACTGCCCCATAGGGTTTTCAAGGCTGTAAATCTTTACGGAAGCAGACTGCGCATCTTTTCTCCCACAGGGTGGCTGACAGGTTCAAACAGCTGACCTTTTGGTTAGCAGCTGAGTGCTTTAACCACTGAGCCCCACCTTATTCCCATTTCCAGGTGAGAGAAATGAGGCTCCGAGAGTGACCACGGTCCATGGTCACACAGCCAGGAAGTGGCTCTAGACCAGAGCTTTTAATTTCTATATTTTGCCGCCTCCCACGGATACTTGGGACCCACCTAGACAGGTTGACAGGGACACTTGGGACAGGAATCTGGGATACCAGATTGACTCCCACCCGGGAGACTCTTGGTCCTTGCTGGTAGTCAGGTGCCCCAGCACACACATGAACACCAAAAACCCACTGCTGTCAAGTCAGTTCTGCCTTATAGTGACCCTATAGAACAGAGTAGAACTGCCCCATAGGGTTTCCCAGGATCGGCTGGTGGATTTGAA